GAGCGCGACGGGCGCGCGGGTCCGCGGGCGCGCGAACGCGTCGCGCGGGGCGACGGGTGATCGAGACCGATCGAGGGGTCGTTCGGCATCGGGACGTGACGATTGACACGTTTGAAAAGTTTGATTGACATTCAATGGTTGGAACGAACGCGGCGACGGACGCGGGCGCGGCGGCGGCGGCGCGGGCGAGGCACGAGCGCGCGGTGCGGAATGGGTTGATCGCCACCGAGTTGCCGGCGTGCGCGGCGCACTGCGTCGACGCGGGAGAGGCGTTGTTGAAGCGGGACGGGAAGGATGTGCACAAGCGAAGCGCGGCGAGACGCGGACGGTACGCGATGCTGTTTCCGTGTCAATTGAGCGTGATGAAGGAAGGGAAGATTGGGGAGATGCGGGAGATGCACACGCAGTCGCCGATCGTGTACCTGAACTTTGGGGAGTTGGGGAGAATGAAGTTGTTGGGGAGCATCGTGCGGCCGAACTCGACTCGATACTTTACGTTGAACGCGAAATCGAGGGATAGGATGAATCTGGAGGAGTGGTTCGATAGCGTCATCGTGTTCCCGTCGTGGTATTGGATCGGGACGGAAAAGGAGAATCCTGAGGAGCGGGCGCTGGCGATGCCCAAAGAGCTGGGAGATTTGTCGGGCGAGCCTGAAGCGGTTTGGGAGAGCGGAATAGCGGCGGGGAGCGGTAAGACGGCGACGGCGAAGGATGACAAGGAACCGGCGACCGATAAGGTCGAGGTCAGCGCGCCCACAGAAAAAGAAGGAGGACGTCGGCCGAGGCGACAGGCCGCGGCGGTGGCGAGAAAGAAGATGTACGCCGACGACAGCGACGCGATGGAAGAGTCCGACGACGACGACGACGGTCACGTCGCGTCGCCTGTCGTCGTTCGCGGCAAGGTCGAGAGCTTCATGCCGACAATACCACCGCCGCCGAAACCGCAACCGGTCGACGCTCCGGTGCGCGAATCAATCGCCGCTCCTGCTCGACAGTCCCTGTCGGCGCCCAAAGCGGCGCCCAAAGCGAAGGCAGCGTCGAAAACAAAAGCCGAACCTACCGCCAAACGTCAAAAACGCGACACCTCCATCGTCATCGGAAGTGAAAGTGAAGACGATGAAGAAGAAATGACGGATGCGAACGGCGATGACGACGAGGATGATATTGAGGATGCGTCCGACAGTGACGAAGAATCATTCGAGGATGACGACGACGACGACGACTGGGATTGAGAGACAATTTAGCGAGCATTGCAAAATATTGAAACGAACACTGACTACTTCTTCAGAAACGCCTGCAAATCCTTGACGGCGGCCGAGGAGCCGATGAACATCGGGCTCTTTTGGTGGATGTGCTCGGGGACGACGTTGAGCACGCGCTCGTCCGCCTTGGCGCCGCGCATGGACATCCCGCCCGCCTGCTCGACAATCATCGAGCACGGCGCGATCTCGTACAGGAGTCGAGCCTTGCCTTCCTTCGCCTTGGCGTCCGGTGGGTACAACCAGATGCCTCCGTAGCACAGCGTCCGATGGAAATCAGCGACCAAGGCGCCGACGTATCGATACGACCACGGCTTGCCGCCGTCCGATCCACCGTTTTGAAGGTGCGTGACGTACGCCTTGAGCTCGGGCGCCCATAGATCGACGTTACCGTTATTTCCACTATAGATGCGCTGCATGTTGTCTCCATCCGGAATCATCATTCGCTCCTTGGACATCAAAAACTCACCGCAGTTGACGTCGTAGTCAAACTGATACACCCCGTCGCCGATGGTCAACACGAACACGGCGCTCGAGCTGTACATGCAGTACCCCGCCGCGACGAGCGACTCCCCGCTTCGCAACGAATTCGTCACGCACTTTTTCAGCGTATCTTCCGGAGAATCGTTCGCGTCGACCTCGCACGCGCCCGGGGCGTACACGCCGAATATCGACCCCGTCGCCACGCACGCGTCGATATTACTCGACCCATCGATCGGATCAAACGTCACCACGTATCCATTCGCCGACCGCTCACACGCGATCGGCACCTCCTCTTCCTCCGTCACGATCGTCGAGCACCGTCCGCACGCCCGCAGGGCGTCCACGAAGACGTCGTTCGCCAGCACGTCGAGCTTTTTCTGCTCATCCCCGCTCGCGTTCGACCCCCCGGCCGCGCCCGTGTTCCCCTGCAGCGGCGCCCGCGCGACGAGCGCCCGCACGCGCTTACACGCGACCGCCACCGAGTTCAGCGCGATGGCGAGATCACCGTCCACGTCGCCGCGCGCCGAGGCCGAGGCGAGCCACGCGCTCAGGGAATCCCCCAGCGCCGCGCGCGCCGTTCCGCCCCGCGTCCGCGCGCGCGGCCATCGACGCCGACGCGTCGTCGTTCCCGGTCGCGCGCGCGCGGGGGCGTGCGCGCGCATCGTCGCGCGAGCGAGCGCGCGCGCGTGTGCGCCCGATCGTCGATCGACGTTTCCCTTTCGATCGACACACCGTGACCGGCGAGACGCCTTTGGCGTGAAAATCCAAAGGCGTCGACAGGGGTCGACGCGGACATCGCCCGATCGTCGATCGACGTTTCCCTTTCGATCGATACACCGTGACCGGTGAGACGCCTTTGGCGTGAAAATCCAAAGGCGTCGATGGGGGTCCACCGAAGCGCCCAGGGGGACGTCGACATCGACCGCGCGACATCGCGCTTGCGCCCGCGCGCGCGTCGATGTCGCTCGCGCGCGCGCGCGCGACGGCGACGGCGACGCGGGCGCGCGGGCGATGTCGCGCGCGCGCGCGGGCGCGGGGTCTCGAGCGCGCGCGGGCGGCGCGGGATGCGATGACGCGACGCGGCGGTGAGCTCGGGCGACGTCCGCGCGGGTCGGTGACGACGACACATTGGACGGGTACGAGGCGACGTACGGGGCCGGGTTGCGGGTTGCGGGGACGCGCGCGGGGGAGCGGGATGGGTTTCGTGAGGCGCGACGACGCGGACGGGAGGCGTACGCGCGGGCGCCGGGACGGACGGGCGGAACGGCGCCGCCGGGGACGCGGTGGAGCGACGATGGCGACGCGGAGGATGGCGGCAGGCGGGGCGGGGAGTTGAATAAGTTTCTCGTCGCTGGGGCGTTCGTGGTGGGCATCGGGGCGGGGGTGGTGTTCGACACGGCGGTGGACCTGGAGCCGTCGAACGTGGCGTCGAGGGAGATTTTGGACAGGCGGACGCCGAGCTCGGAGCTGTGCATGGCGAACGGCGCGTCGGCGATGGTGTTTGATCAGCGTGTCTTCTTGTCGCTGAATCCATTCAACGTGTACGTGGCGCAACCGGAGGTGAAGCCGGGGTGCGTCCTGCGAAGGTCGAACTGGAACGTCCTCGAGCGCAAGGGCGTGGTGGATAAGAAGTCAGAGGACGTGTGCAAATCCCACATGAATACGTTTGCGTTCGTGGGTAATCTCGATCAATCGCCCGAGGTCTCGTGCGTTTATCACAGCGAGGAAGCGGAGAATCAGTTTATGAGGGATCCGTCTCGCGCCGTTCTCGGCGACGGCGTCGTGCAGACAATGCGCGAGAAAATAGACGCGCAAACGACAAAGGGTGATAGATTCCGTTAACCACGCGGGAGGCGAACCATTCTAAGACATGTAAACCACTACTAATGCTACAACACGTTATTACTACAGATGTCCACTAACTACTACCTACATTTTGTTTCTTTGACTCGAAGCGCGCGGCGAGCTCTGCGAAGAGCTCGTCATCCGTGGTCGGGTCTTCGCCTGCGGGCGAAGACTTTTGCGTCGCTTGCGAGGAAAACATCTCTATGAGCGTCCTTTGAGTGACGTCAACGACGGCGAGCTTTTGTTTCTTGGTCGAACGTGGACTCGTTTCCTCGCTGGTTCGTCGAGTGGAACCCGCCGTCGTCGCCTCGAGATGGTCGCCGCTTTGCCCGTTCAAGACGGTACCCAAGGTATCGAGCTTTCTCCGAATGGTTTGCCAAATGATCTCGTCGATCGTGTCCCGTGCGTGTAGATATTGCACTAGCACGCTCGAAGCTTGGCCAATTCTGTGCGCTCGATCTTCGGCCTGTATCAAATCTCCCGGTGTCCACACCATTTCTCCAAAGATCACCGTGGACGCTGCGGTGAGGGTGAGACCCATGCCTGCAGCTTTGATCGAAAGGACCGCGATTCGAGTGGAGTCATCGCGCTGAAATTTATTTACGAGATCACCTCGAGCGGCCGAGGGCGTCGATCCGTCTATGCGAATATGTTTGCACTTTTTCTTCTCGAGAAACGCACTGACGGCGTCGAGCATGACTCCGTGGTGCGCGAAGAATATGAACTTTTCTGACGCGCTCCCATCGATGAGGGTCTCCAGGTAGTCGCACACCGCGTTAACCTTAGCCTTAGCGCTCGCGAGGAACAACTCGTTGAGTAAGCGCTTCTCCTCGAATTCCGAGCCGCCGGCTTCGCGAAGCTTATCCAACTGCGTTTTGATCCTACGCACGTCGCCCAAACAAGACTTTTCCACTGTGAGAAACTGTTGCGTTCGCTGCTTGGGCGGCAGGCTCTTCAAAACATCTCGTTTAAGTCGTCTCACCATGCAGAGTTTTGAAATCATCACGTGAAGTTCGTCCGCGCGAGAGCACCCCGTGTACATTCCAAAAGGCGCGCCGCCCTGACAGTAGCGCGTGCCGTAATCGTGTAAACGAAAAAATACTCGTGGGACCAAGGCTTCGAGCTGCGAGAACAACTCGATCGGTCGACTCAGTGCGGGGGTGCCCGTGAGACAGATCACACGCGACGCCGCGCCGTCCTTCATGAGCGGCATAACTGCTTGCGTCCGTTGCGCGCGCCGATCCTTCAGAAAGTGCGACTCATCCGCGACGATGACCTTGTACCGTCGCTCTCGCAATCTATCTTTCAGCTTGACGCACAATGAATACGGAACGATATTATACATGCGCCCTTCGTCGAGTTTTTTCGCCTCGTTTGCCGCCCCGACAACGGCAATGTCGCCGTCGTCCGCGTCGAGCCAGCTCTGTAGCGCGTTTCGCCACGCCTCTCTAAGCGATGTCGGCACCAGAATCAACGCCGGACACTCGTCCTTATAGCACGCCAACAGCGCACACGCCTGAACCGTCTTCCCGAGACCCATCTCGTCACCGATGAGCGCGCGCCCGCCCCGCCTCAGCGCGTACATGACCCCTTCGCGTTGAAAATCAAACATCTTCGCATCCATCTCCCTCGGCACGCGCGCGTCGTACATCGCCCTCGCCTCGCGCTCGTGCTCGTCGAACCCCATCTCCGCGCACCGTATCACCATCAACGGCGGCTGAATCACCCTGAATCCCGCGCTCTCGAGCGTTCGAGTCGCCTCGACGCGCCGTTCCGCCGGAATCGTCCGTCGTCCGCGCGCGTCTCTCGAACACCCCATCCCACCTCCCACGACACCGTCGACCGCTTCCATCACCCCAGGCATCGCCACCACCGCGAACCGATCGCCCGGCGCGCACAGCGCGAGCTCACACGTCCTCGGCGCCGTCGTCGGCGCCGTCCCACCACGCGCGCGCCCACCGCCCGAAACATCCGTCACCGTCACCGCCCCCGTCACCGCGCGCGCGGTCGCGAGACCGATCCCTCGCGCGCGCTCCGCCCGCGCGATCGCCTCGAGCGCCGCGGCGTCGTCGGCGCCGTCGTCGTCGTCCCACGCCATGGCGTCGCGCCCGTCGTCGACGCGCGCGATGGGCCGACATCGCGCTGTGTGCACCACATAGACGACGTGTGCCCACAATACGTATCCGCAGTGTGTGGCGACGATAGACCGATCACCGATACCCGTGCGCACGCACCCCCCCCCGTCGCGAGTCGTGACTCGGAAAATCACCCGTGATTTATCCCGCCCTCGACGTCGTCCTCGATGGCGCTCGACGGACGCGGAGTACGGCGTCGACGCGCGGTGGTGCCCGCGACGTCGTCGCCCCCGGGAAGATATCGCCCGCGTCGACGTCCCGGCGCTCGTGGACGCGTCGACGCGCGCGCGACGCGCGCACATCCCGTCGCGAGACGTCGTCCGCCGAGGTCGACGCACGTCACCGCACTCGCGCGCGCGCACGGGTGGAGGGTTGTACGAACACGGTCGACGGCGAACGATGATGCGGGCGTCGTCCACGTCGAACGTCTTCGCGTCCGGTCGCTTCGGCGCCGGACGCGGCGCCGGGGGTGCGCGCTGCGTCGCCGTGGCGCGGGTGAACGCGCCGATGCGCGCGTGTGCGTTGGGATCCGCGCGCGTGAGCTACGCGGGGGCGAGCGCGAAGGCGCTGCGGTGCGACGCGCGAGGCGTGACCCTAGGCGCGTCGCGCAGGCGCTCGCTGCGGATCGACGCGATGTTCGAGGTACGTCTTCGCGCGCGGCGCGATCGGACGGTGGCGATGGGATGATGGGTTTTTCTTGAGTCGACGCGACGCGCGGCGCGCGATCGAATCGCCGCGGAGACTGACGAAACGAGTCCGTTTTACGTCGACCAGCGCTTCACCGAGAAAGCCATCAAGGTTGTCATGTTGGCGCAGGAAGAGGCTCGGCGTTTGGGGCATAACTTTGTGGGGACCGAACAGGTACGGTAAAGAATAATCTTCGATCGCGCTGCGGCGTCGGCGGGGCGCGTGGGAGCTCGAACACGCGCGCACGAAGGGACGATGGACGAGGGGGCTAGGCTAGGTTTTAGAGGCGCGCGCGCTGGCGCGCGACGCGCGCGCGACGACGACGACGACGACGAGTGGGAACGTTTGAGTGGAGACATGCGTCGTGATCGTGCGCACGATTGGTTTCGTTCGAGCTCAGAGACTGACTGACCTGTGCGCTCGCGCGCTCGTTCTCGCGCGTAGATCATGTTGGGCTTGATCGGCGAAGGCACCGGCATCGCGGCCAAGGTGCTCAAGTCCATGGGTATTTCGTTGAAGGAGGCCCGTATTGAGGTTGAGAAGATTATCGGTCGTGGTTCTGGCTTCGTTGCGGTGGAGATTCCGTTCACGCCGCGGGCGAAGCGCGTGTTGGAGCTCGCGCTCGAGGAGGCGCGCCAGCTCGGCCACAACTACATCGGTACCGAACACTTGTTGCTCGGTCTGCTCCGCGAAGGCGAGGGCGTTGCCGCGCGCGTGCTCGAAAACCTCGACGCTGATCCGGCCAAGATTCGCTCTCAAGTGATTCGCATGGTTGGTGAGACGCAAGAGGCCGTCGGCGCTGGCGCCGGTGGCGGCCAAGGCGCGCAGGCTGGCTCCAAGACGCCGACGCTCGAGGAGTTCGGTAGTGACCTCACGAAGAAGGCTGAGGAAGGCAAGCTTGACCCGTGCATCGGCCGCGTGAACGAAATCATTCGTGTCACGCAAATTCTCGGACGCCGTACCAAGAACAACCCTTGTTTGATTGGTGAGCCGGGTGTCGGTAAGTCTGCCATTGCGGAAGGTCTCGCGCAAAAGATCGCCACGAACGACGTTCCGGATACCCTCGACTCCAAGCGTATGATGACTCTCGACATGGGTCTCCTCGTTGCTGGTACCAAGTACCGTGGTGAGTTCGAAGAGCGTCTCAAGAAGCTCATGGACGAAGTTAAGAATGATGAAAACATCATCCTCTTCATTGACGAAGTCCACACGCTCATCGGCGCTGGTGCGGCCGAAGGTGCCATCGATGCCGCGAACATTTTGAAGCCGGCCCTGGCTCGTGGTGAGCTTCAGTGCATTGGTGCTACCACCATTGATGAGTACCGCAAGCACATCGAGAAGGACCCGGCGCTCGAACGTCGTTTCCAACCGGTGCAAGTGCCAGAACCGACGGTGGATGAAACTATCCAAATTCTCCGTGGTCTTCGTGAGCGATACGAGTTGCACCACAAGCTCAAGTACTCCGACGACGCTCTCATCGCCGCCGCGAAGTTCTCCAGCCAGTACATCTCCGATCGTTTCTTGCCGGACAAGGCGATCGATCTTATTGATGAGGCTGGTTCTCGCGTGCGCTTGGCCAACGCGGCCCTTCCGGAGGAAGCCAAGGAGCTCGACAAGGAACTCAAGGCTTTGATGAAGGAGAAAGACAATGCGATCCGTTCTCAAGATTTCGAGGCGGCCGGCGGTCTTCGTGACCGTGAGGTTGAGCTTCGTGCGCAAATCAAGCAAATCACCGAGCGCAAGCAAGAGGAGAGCCGTGCCAAGTCGGAATCTGGTGATGAAACTGGCCCGCAGGTTGTTGAACAAGACATCGCCGATGTCGTCGCCGCGTGGACCGGTATTCCGGTCGACAAGGTGTCATCCGATGAAGGTACCCGCCTCATGGCCATGGAAGAGACGCTCCACAAGCGCCTTGTTGGCCAAGAGGAAGCCGTCGTCGCCTGCGCGCGTGCCATCCGTCGTGCTCGTACCGGCTTGAAGAACCCCAACCGCCCGGTTGCATCCTTCATCTTCTCCGGTCCGACTGGTGTCGGTAAGTCCGAGCTCGCCAAGTCTCTGTCTTCCTTCTACTTCGGCTCCGAAGACGCCATGGTTCGTCTTGACATGTCTGAATTCATGGAACGCCACACCGTGTCCAAGCTCATCGGTTCCCCGCCGGGTTACGTCGGTTACTCCGAAGGTGGTCAGCTCACGGAAGCTGTTCGCCGACGCCCGTACACCCTCGTGCTCTTCGATGAAATCGAAAAGGCTCACCCGGATGTGTTCAACATGATGCTTCAAATCCTTGAGGACGGTCGCTTGACCGACTCCAAGGGTCGTGTTGTCGATTTCAAGAACACCCTCATTATCATGACGTCGAACGTTGGTGCTTCGGCGATTGAGAAGGGCGGCGGTGGCTTGGGTTTCCAACTTGACGATAATGCGGAAGACCAATCATACAACCGCATCAAGAGCTTAGTGATGGAGGATTTGAAGAACTACTTCCGACCGGAATTCCTCAACCGTCTTGACGAAATCATTGTGTTCCGTCAACTCAACAAGCAAGAAGTGCGTGAAATCGCGTACATCATGCTTGAAAATGTGTTCAAGCGCCTCAAGGAAAAGGAAATCACCCTCGAGTGCACGGAGCGCTTCAAGGATCGTCTCGTCGACGAAGGTTTCTCGCCGGCGTACGGTGCTCGTCCGTTGCGTCGCGCCATCATGCGTCTGCTTGAGGACAACCTCTCCGAGAAGATGCTCACGGGTGAAATTTCGGAGGGCTCTTCTTGCATTATGGATGTCAATGCGGAAGGTGAAATCACGGTGTTGACTGGTGATGGTAGAGAGCTTAAGGCGGGCAGCGCGATTGGCGGTCCGGCTGGCATCGCGTAATCCTGAGGCAGATGTTTTACGCATATTGATTACAAGGATTTTGTGCTTTGGGATGGCGCGAGCGCTCGCCCCATCATCAGCGGGAGCCCTGAAATTAGGCGATTTAGGATACATGTGACTCGCGCGATGTTATATGATGAAAGAGCGAATGAGAAATTGTCGGACTGTAACCTCTATTCGACTCGCGTGCGCGAACGGACTACCGTGATGGCGAGAGCAGCGCCTTGAATGCGGCGCAGGTACGCTGGTGTGAGCAAACGAAACGATTTTCGACGTTTTCACAAGACTAGGCGATCAAGGTGACGAGGTCACCTCGAATGGTACACTTTTCCTCCTCTACAAGAAGCATTGCGGCGTCGCGAACCTCCTGGATGCTCAGCGCCATCGTGTTGTCCCTCTCCGCGAGCGCCTTCGCGAGCTCGCCCAGTCGGAGTCTACCGCTCCCAGAAGTATTAAGACACGCCCTGATGGCCTCTGCAACCGTCCTGCGGTGCTGACGGTCGCTGGCGCTATGTCCGGTCAATATCTTATCCATATCAATCGTCCCAGTGCGAGGATCAACGGCGGATTGTTGCATCGCCACCCGCATCAATCGCAGCGCCTCCTTAGCGTCGTCACGATCCACCACCGCACTTAAACGCATGCGCGCTAGAGACTCTGAGAGACGAATGAGAGACTCAAGTTGTCTCGGCGTTGCAGTAATAACTTTTCGACTACCACCCATGCGTCGCATCTCAACATATCCCTCCACGAGCTCTTCCGAGGCTTCGTCGCTGAGCACCGGTTGTACATTGGCGCGAGCATACGAGACGTACTCGGTGAGCAAGTCGGCAGAAATCACGCCCCGTTTCTTCTGCGGGGGATTCTTGTAGTGCAAACTGACTAAGTGTCTCGCCAGACGGCGATCCGTCTCGGGATTAGGACGGTCAAGCAATAGGTAGAGCAAATCAAAACGGGACAACAGTGTCGGCGGGAGTTGAATGTTCTCCACCATGGACATGTTCGGGTTGTAACGACTTCCGACTGGGTTCGCTGACGCAAGGACCGAAGTCCGTGCATTTAACACCGCAATGATTCCAGCCTTCGCGATGGAAACCGTCTGCTGCTCCATCACTTCGTGCAACATTGATCGAGCACTGTCAGACATCTTGTCGAACTCATCAATGCAACAAATGCCGCGATCAGAAAGCACGAGCGCTCCTGACTCGAGCACCATGTCTTTTGACTCCGGATCGCGAGTGACGTACGCTGTAAGACCAACCGCAGACGAACCTCTACCTGAGGTGTACATACCACGCGGCGCGATACGATGAACGTACGTCAATAGCTGAGACTTGGCGACCCCGGGATCACCGACGAGTAAAATGTTGATGTCGCCCCGGACCTTGTTCGCTGCCTTGTCGCTGAAGCTCTTGTTCGTGGCGCCAAAGAGCTGACACAACAGTCCTTTTTTAACGTCTTCTAACTCCCAAATTGACGGGGCCAACGACGCCACAAGCCGGTCATAAATGTCCGGCGAACGACCGAGCTCTTCTATCTCGGCCATGCGCTCCGGAGTGAACTCCATTTGCTGTCCAGGACCTTGATTCTTCACCGGTCCAGATGACTTCGTTGAAGCAGCTGAGTTTCTTGCAGCCTCTTCATCCTCGGGTCCGGCCGTGTTTCGCATCCTCGCCCCGACGTCCTTTCTTATATGAAAAACGTCTAGGTACGTCTTGTACACACTCTTGAGCGTGCGCTTCGTAGAGCTCAGACGAATTGGAACCGCACGATACACTCCAGTAACTTCAACTCGGTCACCTGGCTTCGCCTGATCAACGAGATCATCGAAGACGCACATGGATACAGTGTGCGGAGTCTCACCCTCGGGAATCGCATCCGGTGTCTCCTGCATCTTCACCGTTTGCTTGTTTGCGAAGACGCATTGATTGTGAATCAAGGTCATCGTTCCTGGCTTGCCGCACTCTGTGCACTTGAGCGGAGGTTCGTTGACGCGACCGCGGTCGACTTGAATATGTTCTGGGGCGAAGCCGCACATCAGACACTTGAAATACGCGAGTTTTAGGTCAGGAATGATCGTTGTGCATCGCGTCACCATACCACGCACGCACACCATCTTGTCGATGTCCGATGGATTCAAGTCGCGCATGGGTTTCGCCTCCATCATGTTGAACGGGCGCACTAGCAATCGGTGATCATCGGCCTCATCAACCGGCATCACTTCTGGCACGACATTTTGCGTGAAGTATTCATTTGCAACAACGTCGAAGAGCGGAATGATCTCTTGCGGGTACTGCGTCAAGAGACTGTACAAGAACGGATCGTATTTGTCGACGTGCTGACAATCCAGATCCAGATCCGATTGCTGCTTCTCCAGGAGATCGTGCATCAAGTCGTGGTAGTTACGAGTCGGTGGCGGAACGAAATCAACCGGAGGCACAAAATCAGCCTCACCGTAGCCCTCAGGCCACTGAAACTCCGACGGAAGGACATACCACTCAAAGTTTTCCAAAAATCGCCGAAAGCGCGTCTGCACGTCGTACACGTTCACCTTGGTACCCCAGATATACGTCTGCATCGCCACGTCCTCGCGATCCATGTGCCCACGCATCAAGTGATCACCCGCGCTCTGCGGCGGTGACATCAAGAAATCAACATCCTGCGTCGCCGTCAACTGCGTTCCAGGAGTCGCGTCCAAGCCCGCGCTCGCCCGGCGCTCGCTCCCCGGCGCGCCGAATCCATCGTCCTCCTCATCCATCCGTCCCGCGCGTGCACTCAACACCCCTCGTCGAACATCCCCCCTCGGCGTCGTCCTCGGCGTCCCGAACCGCGGTGATCCAAACGTCCCACCACCCATCGGCGTGGACGCCGCGCCGTGCGCGCGTCTCGCCGGCGGGGAAAACAAATCCGCATCCAACGGCGACATCATCCCTCGTCCACCCCCCGAGCTCGCTCCGCGCGCCGGCGGCGGCGACATCAACCCCACATCGCCCCCAGCCCCCTCCGCACTCGTCCCTCGCCCGTCCGGGGCGACGTTTTCATCCACAGCTGTCGCTTCGCCCATCGATCGATCGAGCGCTCGTCGCCCCTCACCGTCCGCCGCGTTCGCGTCGTGTAAAGTCGCGCGCCCGCGCTGCGACGCGGACGACGGTGACTTCACGGGTGACCGCGAGCGCGCGCGAGCGGGCGACGCCATCGCGCGCGCGCGAACGACGACGCGTCGACGCGCGGCGTTCGAATGGGTCATCGGTTCAAAAAACGCGCAGGTCATCGCGCGTGGTGAAAATCATGGGGTTTCGTCGACGAGACGTACACCTCAGGGTTTAGGGACTCGCGCGACGCGATGACGTTTCAGTCCCGTCTCGCGCGCGTCGGCGGCGCGCGCGACAGACCGCGACGACCGCCGCGCACGCGCGTCGCTTCGAATCTCTCGAGCGCTTCATCGATCGCGCACGCACGATGCACGCGCAGACGATCGGGGTGAGACCGACGCGAATCGCGAACGCGCACGCCGCGACGGGGCGCGCGCAGCGCAGGGAATCCCTCCGCGCGGCGCGCTCGAACGTCGTCGGTGACGCGCGCGCGGTGTTCCAAACCAATGGATTCTTTGCGAACGCCGTGACGTCGCGCGCGCGCGAGGTGAAGGCTCGAGCGGGGCGCGGACCGACCGTCATGGCGGCGAAGGTGGCGGGGTACATCAAGCTCGCCATCGCCGCCGGTAAGGCGTCCCCGGCGCCGCCGATCGGGCCCGCGCTCGGTGCCAAGGTGCGTATGTAGATGCGATGTGTGAATCCCCATGCTTTTTGGCGAAGTTGGGCGACGAGAGCGCGGCGCGTGGGGCGAACGAGGCGCGCGTGGACGACGTCGAGGTAGCTAAAGACCTAGGATGAGGGTTTGCGGACGCGCGACGCGAGAGGGGCGATCGACGCGGCGTGACGTGGATGCATATGCTATGTTCGGCGTGGAATCGTTCAGTCGAACACGTTTCGTTCGCCCCGGTTGATTTCGGTTCGCGACTTGAGATGATGAGAGACTGACGCGCGTGCGACTTGTCGCTTTCTCATCGACGCAGGGTGTGAACATTATGATGTTCTGCAAGGAGTACAACGCGCGCACGGCTGATCAAGCCGGTATGATCATCCCGGTTGAGATCACCGTCTTCGAAGACAAATCGTTCACCTTCGTCCTCAAGACGCCGCCGGCGTCTGTGTTGTTGTTGAAGGCGGCGGGCGTTGCGAAGGGGGCGGCGGATCCGCAAAAGCAAGTCGTCGGGCGCGTGACCAAGGAGCAACTCGAGGAAATCGCCAAGATCAAGATGCCGGACCTTAACTGCGTCAAGGTGGAAAGCGCCATGGCTGTCGTTGCCGGCACTGCGGCGAACATGGGGATCAAGATCGATGGCTGGCCGGAGGTCGAGGCCGCGTAGAGCCCCCTCTCGTCCCGTAGCGTCGACGACGCCTCGTCGCGGACGTCCTCGATCGCGCATTCGCGATTCGAACGCCGCAACGGGCGATGCGATCTTTATTCAAATTTGCTCGACGACCGCGGCACGCGGTCCGCGTTAGATGTAATGCCTTAGTGAGAATTTCTTCCCAGAACGCGCTCGCCGTCGACGAAAGCCCTATCCGCTCGCGCGAAGCCTCTCGCTGTGATTAAAACATTTGCTAACTCGCTCTCGCTCTACTTCTTCAACTCCCGGTGAAGCGTGTGCTTCTTCAAAAACGGGTTGTACTTCATGAGTTCAATGCGTTGAGACGTGTTACGGCGGTTCTACGTCGACATAAAGCGCGTCGTCAGTCCTCTCGCGCCTCGCACAAACCCTGAAATCGCCCCCGTCCCCCCCCCCCGTCGTTCGCGTCGTCGCCCTCGCCCACCCCCCCCGAGCGCCCGGCACCGCTCGACGTCGACCCATCGAACCACCTCGCGCACCTTTTCCGTCATGTATCGCGACATGCCCATGACACCGCTCTCCTTTTGTTCGGTGCACTCCAGCGTGACCTGCAGGCGCACATCCTTCTTCTTGCTCGCCGCGACGACCACGAGGGCGCCGCGCGCGTGCGTCGACGCGCGCGTCGGTCGCGATGGGGCGAACGCGGACGTGGACGCGACGGAGGTTCGCGCGAGCATCGGTCGCGCGCGTGTGCGGGTCAGCCGTCCGCGGGACGGGCGCGACGTCACGCCGTCATGCGTGTGCGTGACGCCACCATTGTCGACGTCCGTGAGACCTGTGTGCGTGTAAACACCACGCGCGCGCGACGACGACGACGACGAGACGTTCGCGCGCGCGCGACCGCGGACCTCGACGTCGCCCGCGACGACGCGTCGCGCGATGAAGATTTACACCAAGACGGGCGACGCGGGCGCGAGCGATCTGTACACCATGGAGCGACGGGAGAAGGACGACGCGACGTTCGACGCCCTGGGAGACGTCGATGAGTGCAACGTCGCGGTGGGCATCGCGCGGGAGTTTTGCGTCGAGGAGAAGAATGGATTGGCGGAGGAGTTGGCGGAGATTCAGTCGAGGCTGTTGGACGTGGGCTCGCGCGTGGCGACGCCGCTGACGACGTCCGAGGCGCGCGCGGCGGCGCGCGCGGCGTTCTCGGAAGCGCACGTGGAGATGTTGGAGCGAAGAATCGACGCGATGAGCGAAGAGTTGCCGGCGCTGACGAGTTTTTTGTTGGTGTCGGGGGGGCGGGCGAGCGTGTTCTTGCACCAGGCGCGCGTGGTGTGTCGCCGCGCCGAGCGACGATGCGTCCCGCTCGTTCGTCGGGGGGAGTGTCCGGACGTCGTGCGGGTGTACTTGAATAGGTTGAGTGATTATATGTTCACCGCGGCGCGGTACGCGGCGATGAAGGCGGGTCGCGCGGAGGAGCCGTACAAGAAGGCGGCGTGAAGCGTGGACGTTGGCTTACTAGAAATACAGCGATTCGATGATGCTACGGCATCTACGCGACCCCCTCGCACGCAGGGTCGCGATCAACTGGTTTCGTTAAGGTTTTTGGATTCGACGAGTTCGACGCGCCGGTGCTCGAGAGCGAGGCGTTGTTCACGAGAAAAGCGGGGGAGGAGATCACGACGCAGTTGTATAACTTTGTCGATAAGGGCGACCGTAGGGTGGCGCTGAGGCCGGAGTTGACGCCGTCGTTCGCGAGGTTGATTTTGCAGCAAGGGAAGTCGCTCGCGTTGCCGGCGAAGTGGTTCGCGATCGGGCAGTGCTGGAGGTACGAGCGCATGACGCGCGGGCGAAGGCGCGAGCACTACCAGTGGAACATGGATATCGTGGGCGTGAGTGGGATCGAGGCCGAAGCCGAGCTCTTGGCGGCGATCACGACATTTTTTAAGAGGGTGGGGGTGACGAGCGCGGATGTCGGCATTAAAGTGAGCTCGCGAAAGCTGTTGCAGGAGGTTTTAACGCGGTACGGCATCGGTTCGGATGCGTTCGCCCCGGTGTGCGTCGTCGTGGATAAGATTGAAAAGCTTCCGCGGGAGAAGATCGAGGACGAGCTTCGCGAGCTCGGCGTCGCCGAGGGCGCCATCGAGGGCATTCTCGCCGCGACGCAAATGCGCACCGTGGAGGAGCTCGAGGCACTCATCGGTCCGGACGCCGAGGCGGTGAAGGATTTGAAGCAACTGTTCGCGTACGCCGATGCGTACGGCTACCGCGATTGGCTCGTCTTCGACGCGTGTGTCGTGAGAGGTTTAGCGTATTACACGGGCGTCGTCTTTGAAGGGTTTGATCGCGCGGGCGAGCTTCGAGCGATTTGCGGGGGCGGGCGATACGATATGCTACTCGGCGCGCTCGGAGGAGAGAACCAGCCGATGGTGGGCTTTGGTTTCGGCGACGCCGTCATCGTTGAGTTGCTTAAAGATAAGGGCTTGATGCCGGATTTCTCCCGAGGCGACACGCAGGATTTGGTGTTTCCTCTCTCCGAGTCGCTTCGTCCTGCGGCGATGCGAGTCGCGGCAAGTCTCCGCGAGAGCGGGCGAACGGTCGATCTGGTGCTCGAAGATAAGAAGGCCAAGTGGGCCTTCAAGCAAGCCGAGCGCATCGGTGCCGAGCGCGTGATCTTGCTCGGCGAGAAGGAGTGGGAAGCCGGCAACGTGCGCGTCAAGGACCTCGCGACTCGGGAAGAGGTCGACGTCAAGATCGACGATCTCAAGTGATACTCGCCTGCAATTAAATGAAATAAATTAGCGCTTCCACCGAAGCCTCACTTCCCGAAGCACTGTCCGCCTTCGGTCGGAACCGCGTCCGGGATGAAACCAAAGTGAAAAATTTGGTTCGCCCCCACCGCGACGCCGACGAGCGCGACGAGGAACGAGATCCCCTCTGCGCCACCCAAGACCCCACCCGGCCCCGCCGGAAGTCCACTCCCAGTCTTAAACTTCTTCACCGTGGCGCCGAGGACGATGCCAGCGACGACTAAGTACGACAGTCCCTCCGCCAGTCCGACCGCCCCCCCCGGGCCCGGCGGCAATCCGCATCCGGTGTTGAACAGCACCCACAGCGAGAAACTCACGACGACGTTCGCGATCAACCCCACCGCGCCCGCGATCGCCTCCCCGTCACCGCGCCGCAGCGCGTCGACGACATCACCACCGTCGACCGATTCCAAATCACCCTTCAAGTCAGCCGAGAAGAATCCGTTCTTCGTCTCCTTCTTCGCCCGCGCGATCGCGACGCGCGCGCGCGTCGGCGCGCGCGCGCGCCCGACGATCCCTCGACGCGTTCGAGCGCTCGAGACGCGCGCGCCGATCGTCGTCGTCGTCGTCGTCGTGGAAATCATTGAAATCATCGACCCGCACACCGCGTCGCGCTGTGTCGTCGCGTCCGACGCGCGCGATGTCCGCGTGCGCGGCGTGCGAGCTGCGATTCGCGGCGTGCGTCGACATCGACGCCTACGTCCGGGCGTGCGCGCCGATGGCGCCGCGGAACGGCGACGACGGCGCGAGCGGCGGCGCGTGCGCGGTGTGTTTGGGAATCTTACAAATCGCGAGCGACGCCGACGCGCGCGCGCTCGAGGACGGCGAGCGCGAGGCGGCGCGACGGGTGTTGGAGATTGACGACGTCGGGGCGTTCGCGCGACGGGCGGTGAGTCGTGGACACGGAGGGATGGCGGGGTATCGGTTTCGGGTGGTGCTGCCGGCGGCGACGCTGACGCGAGAGCGAGCGATGCGGGCGACGCGTGGGATCGATGACGCGACGCGCGTGACGGGGATCGATGAGGTGCTGCGGATGCTCGCGCGGAAATCGCTGGGAGAGGCGCTCGGGTGCGAGGAGGATTCAACCGCGGCGTACGCGCTGACGGCTAAATACAAGTACGGCGACGACGCGAAGGAGACGGAGTTCTTGTCGAGCGTGAGTTTGAAACTGAGCAAAGAGGAACGTAAAGGAAAGTTTAGGGGGAAGCACTTGAAGTGGCACAAGGGTGGGAAGCGGAAGCGGGGGACGACGGAGGCGGATTTTTTGTCGCACCTGAGCTCGCCGGAGGATCCGTTCGCGGAGGAGTTTGAGACGGCGGAGCGGGCGTACGAGGACGCCGCGAAGAGGTTAGCGGACGCGAAGTTCGCTGACGCATCATTTTGGTTATCGAATTCGGATGTCACGCTCGCTGCGCCGCGTTTTCGCGCTCGATGCATCGTGGAGGCGTTTCACGAGCCCGTCCACGTTGGCGGGTGGTACGTGAAACTCGATCGCGGCGTCCCACAATCACCGTGGGTCATGCGCGAAACCGGAAAGCGCGTCGGTCGCGGGAGTGTCGTTGAGGCGATAGAGAGCGTCGTATTGGATAAGTTTGCCTCTCGAGGGGCGAAGTTTAATAGTTCGGGGAGAGAAGACATGGACGTGCGCATGCTGAGCGAGGGACGACCATTCGCGTCTCAGGTGCACGACCCGAAGAGACCGACGGTGTCGGCGGATGAAATCGCGGAGATGGAGCGCACAATCAACGCTAAGTGCGACCAAACGGGTGTGCGCGTTCGAGGATTGTGCCTGACGACCAAGGAGCACTACCACGCCGTTGGTCAACACTCAGAGGAGAGTGAAAAAGAGAAGAGCTACGTCGCCATCTGTCGTATCTCAAGACGCGTCACCGCCGAAGATCACAAAACTATCGCTGCTGTTTCAAATTTAGTCGTGCAACAGAGCACACCGACGCGCGTCGTGCACCGTCGAACCGACATGGTGCGACCGCGAACGATCGTGCACATGTCCTCCGAGCCAATTCCAGGCGCGCCGGATGCCCTCATCCTCCGACTTCGCACGCAGGCAGGAACGTATATCAAGGAGTTCGTGCACGGTGATGGTGGTCGCACGAAACCGAGTCTTGGGGATTTACTCGGGTGCAAGGCGCAAATTCTACAGTTGGACGTCACCGAGGTGGACGACGCCTGGAATCCGAGCGGCGCCGCGCCGAACGCAGAAAGCGTTCAATGAACGATCGATTCCATAGACGCGCACCGAAATTCGTGTAAACTAACGTTTAATAGTGTAGCCAGAAATCACCGCCCTCACGCGCTCGCCACCGTCGTCTTGCGCGCGCCCGCAGGTTGGCGACACCGCACTCGTCGCCATGCGCCGCATCCGCGTCCTCTTCTGTTGCGAGCACTCCTTCCCCGCCGGCTTTGCCTGCACCCTCGCCGCGCTCACCTCGAGCGAACGTGAGTACGTAGACGTCGTTCGCGTCGACCGTGACGACGTTCATAGAGAGATTGCGGCGTGCGACGTTGCCGTCCCACTCATGACTCGACTGGACGCTCAAATGCTAAAAATCGGCGCCGCCGGACGATTACGGCTCGTCGTGCAGTTCGGCGTGGGTTTAGAGGGCGTGGACATTCGTGCCGCCACGGCGTGCGGAGTCCGAGTGGCGCGAATCCCGAGCGAACGCACAGGGAATGCGTCGAGCACGGCGGAGATGGCGGTGTTTCTGTTATTAGCGGCGTTGCGAGAGACGAACGAGATGCGTGCGTCAATCGCGGGGAGTCGACTCGGCAATCCGTGCGGGAGGAGCTTGGAAGATTGTGAGGTGATGATAGTGGGGATGGGGGCGATCGGGGTGAAGATCGCGGAGCGATTAAGAGGATTCGGCTGCTCGATGACGGCCGCTCGCAATCGAGCGTGGGACGCGAGCACTGTTCCGGACGGGATCAACGACGGGTGCTCGATCAGCGACGCAAAGAAGTTTGATTTATTATTGGGGAATGCCGATGCGGTGGTTTTGGCGTGCACTCAAGACGCGTCGAATAAGGGAATGATTGACGCAGCGTTTTTAGCGAAGATGAAACCGAACGCCGCGCTGGTGAACATCGCGAGAGGCGGTCTGTTCAACCGCGATGATATCCTGAGCGCGTTGAATTCGGGGCACTTGGGGTATTTAGCAAGTGATGTGGCGTGGTTGGAACCCGTCGATCCTAGTGATGAGTTGGTGAACCATCATCGTGCGTACTTTACGCCCCACGTTGGCGGCGTGACGCAGTCGAGCTATCGCACCATGGGAAGGATCATCGCGAACGTCGCCGTCGCGCTCAATGAAGACGATATCGATAGTCTCGCGGATATACAGATTGTGAATTAAACATAGCACTAATCGGTACAGTACAGTCGTCGGTGACGCGCTAGTCGTCGCCAATGGCGCTTCTGACGTTTGCTTGGAGGTGGGCTGGAAGCATGCCGCCTCGTTTTCCGGTCAAGAAGCCTTGCCCGCCAGCCGTGGTATTCACGCCGGCGTTCTTGTTCTTCACTCGTCCCTTTTCTTTCTTTCCTTTCTTTTGGTACTTGTGCTCCGCACGCATGCGCTCTTTGCCCTTCTTCTTCGACAGTCCGAGAGTGGCCATCATGTCGTCAAGCACGGCGGAGGCGAGCGCGTCGTCCGCCTCCACGCCCGCGGATCCTATATCATCTGCCGTCTCGCGCGCGACGATCGCACCAGCGCCATAACCCGCCATCGCATCTTCGCCCATACGTGACGCTCCAAGTGGACCCTCGTATCCTTCCGGAGCGATGCAATAGAGCAGCTTGCCGCTGACGTAATCCTTCAGCACGGCTCGACCGGCGCGCTGCTCGTCGGGTCTGTTACCCTGAACAGTGTAACCTCGCGCAGCGCAGTATGCGCGCAGAAGCTCGCGCGCAGTTGGATTTCTGTTTTGATCCTCATGAAGTGCCGGCAAGGGAAGCTTCATGTTATACACGTGCTCGATGGTGTCTCGCGGAATTCGTTCGGCGATGATTTCAATGGGACGGAAGACATCCGTCAATCGATCGATGGGAATCACACCGTTGCACACCAAGTGCGCCTTGGAGGTGGAGAACGATGGAAACACAAGACCCGGACAGTCGGCGAGAAGCAGATCGTCCCCGAGCTCGAGCGTTTGAAAATGCTTCGTCTTACCCGGCGTCGCGCTTACGGCTGTCTTCTTCGACGCGACGATTGCGTTCACCGTGCTCGACTTTCCGACGTTCGGGTAGCCCACCATACCGACGACGACTCGGTGCGCTTGAGCACCTTGACGTTGCACGCGCGTCGCGCCCATGGTCTGGACCGCCTCTTCGGCGCGCTTTTGCAAAATTTCCAATAGCTCGGCTCGAGAGGAAATGTGCGCCGGATCCGCGGCGTCCGATTCGTCGTGTTGCATCGACTTCAAAACGTCCGCGTGCGCCTCCGCCGCCCTGCGCGCGGCCTCAGCCTTGGAGCGAATTTCTTCCGCGATTTCCATGGAGTCGCCATCGTCCGACGCGTCACCCTCATCGAGCTCTAACCTTCGTCGCGTGTCTTCGAGGTCTCGCGCGGTTTGTTCCGCCTTGGCCGCGATTTGCTCCGCCTCAATCTCCTCGTACGCCGCCTTTGCGGACCAGAACAAAAACTTGATCCCTCGCGAATCAAAATACTCCGCCCACGCCCTGCGAAGCTCTCTACTGAGCAGATCCGCCTTGTTCAGCAACAGCATCGTCGATTTGCCCGGATTGAGCTCCTTGACGTACTCCTCCAAATCCTCGCACCGATAAAACAACGGATCCCGCGCGTCCACCACCTGCACCACGACGTCCGATCGCTCGCACACGCGCCATAACTGCCGCCAAATCTCCAAATTCTTCTCGAACGGCGTCAACTCGCACCGCTCATCCTCCTCCACCGCCGCGAGCGCCCGTCGCCACTCCAAAAAGCCTCTCCGCTCGTTCGCGTCCACATCCTCCGCCGTCATCTCCCGCGTCCACGTCGGTCTTCTCGGCACACTCAGCGTCCCCTTATGCACCAACTCCGCCTCATTTCTCGCCCGCAACGCCTCCGCTTCCCCCTCCGCCCGCGCCCGCGCGTCCTCCGCCGCCGCCGCGTCGTCCCCAGCCGTCACCCGCGCCCGCGCCCGCGCCCGCGCCGTGGTGAAATCCCGATCACGCAGCGCCGCCATGTGAAAAAACTCCTCCAACGCGTTCCGTTCGAGCACGCTGTCCCCGCTCGCGCGCGTCGCGTCGACGCGACCATCCACCGCGTAGTTGATGTGTCCGTCGCCGTGGCGTCGGCTCGTCGTCGTGCCACCGTCCACGCCGTCGCCGCGCGCGCGACGCCGGCGCTCGAGGGCACCACCGAGGGCGGACCCACGGCCCGGGGCGCGTCCACCGTCGCGCGCGCCCCCCATGTCGCGCAATCGCGTCGACGACGCGCGCGATGGCGGCGGCGGCGGCGTCTGTGTGTCGTCACATGGGTTTATATTGACTCGAATACGACGACGACGCCATCGACGCGCGCATCGACCGCACTTCCGCGCGCGCGCGACCGCGAGCGACCGCGCACGCGCACGCGCACGCGGGCGACGTCGGATAGAACGCACGGGCGCGAGCGATCGAGCGACGGCGCGCGATGGCGACGAAAGTGCAGAGAATCATGACCCAGCCGATCGTGCGTGTCCACCGCGCGTCGACGCGACGAACGACGCGCCGTGGACGCGGAAGCGCGCGCGATGTGCGGGGGTAGTGCGCGCGCGGGCGAACGGTCGATCGAACGCGCGCGCGCGGTGGAGAGGATTTTGCGTGGGGAATGGATCGCGACGCGACGCGGGCGACTGACGACGCGACGATCGACGGGCGCGCAGAATCTGATCTTTCGGTTCTTACAGACGAAAGCTCGGATACAGATCTGGATGTACGAGAACGCGGAGACGTGCCTGGAGGGACGGATCGTGGGGTTCGATGAGTACATGAACCTGGTGTTGGACGACGCGGAGGAGGTGACGGAGAAAAAGTCGAGACGCGTCGCGGTGGGGAGGATTTTGTTAAAGGGGGATAACATCACGCTCATGCGCGCGTTGAGCGAGAAGAAATAGGAAACAAAATGCGTCGTCGAGAAGCGACGGACGCGCTGTGTCGTTTATAGTAGCTCGGTAATCACGCGCCGCTCGGCTCCGTCGCGTCTTCCCGCGCGCGGCGACCGCGACCGCATTCGTCCGCGCGTCGCGCGACTCCATGTCCGTCGCGCGTCCGTCGTCCGCGCATCGACGGACCACGTCCGTGGGCTCCTCCGAGGCGCTCGGTCGGGCCGATTTCGACCCGGCGTCGTTCGTGAACGGGGTTTTGCCCGATGAGAAATCTTTAAGCCAAGTGGACGGAATGATCGAGCGCTTGCGCGAGCGCGCGCGCCTGGTCGACGCCGAGATCGCGGGCGCGCTGCGAGCGCAGAGCGGGAGCGAGGCGCGCGCGCGCGAGGACTTCGCGGTGATCACGCACGGCGTGGACGCCCTGGCGAATCGGTTGGCGGAGACGGAACGCGAGGCGGCGAAGACCGAGGAGAGCGTCAGGGAGATATGTAAAGATATCACGCGGTTAGATCGGGCGAAGAATCACCTCACGGGAGCGATCACGACTCTGCGGCGTCTGTCGATGTTCGTGAGCGGGATGGAGCAGCTGGAGCTGTTCGCGTTGCGAAGGCAGTACGGGGACGCGGCGAATCTGTTGCAGGCGGCGGCGCAGCTTTCGACGCATTTCGAGGCGTACTGCGACGCGTCGACGGCGGTGACGATTGCGCGCGCGAGGACGCGCGAGACGGCGGCGAGGCGCGCGAGACGACGGCGCGCGACGCGACAGACGCGACGCGCATCGTGAGGAGCGCGTCGGCGAGCGCGAGGCGTCGACGAGTGGGATGGGTCTGAGTCGCGTCTCTGGTTAACCTGCTACGAGACCTACGGCGAGGCTAGTCACGCACGAGCATGTACTCGATCGAAAGCTGCGTGTAATCGACGTTTCCGGAGGACACGGGGCTTGAGGTTGACGTTCCAGTGTACGCCATCGAGAAGTATACGTAATTCTCGGAGGCTTCGCACTCTACGACGAAGAGGGCGTTTGAGCTCGTCGTCCACTTGGATGCAGGCATTTTGGCGACGACTTGGGCGAAACATTTATACGCTGACGTCCCGAGATCGTGCCTCACACAGAGCGTGTTGTAGGCGCCGGTGCGATAGGCGTCGGTATTAGGGACGTCGACGATGTTCGCCGCGACGACGGTGCCGTGAGCTGTCGAAGGATTGGACGACGTCTTGAACGCCAGCCAGTGAAGGACGTAGTCACTGTCGCCCCAACCTTGAGTTTTGGTGTGACGACCGTATTGGACTTTGAAGGCGTTGGCGGCCTTGTCGAAAATATGGGCGCCGAATCCATCGCTGATGACGCGGTTCGCCGGCTGGTTGTTCGCCTTTGCGTTCACGACCATGGCAAATACGACGTATTCCCCCGTCGTGTCAAAATTGTGGTTCACCGTGACCGATGTTTGCCCTCTTCCCGAACCGAGATACACTACGCCCGCCCCGAGCTTCGTGCCGGATGCGGTCAACGAAGATGTTTTCAAAATATCGACACGCGAAGCGCTGATCGCCTCGCTGGACCACTCCTTGTTTTGATCACGCGGCGTATTTTGGGCGTTGATTTGAATCGAGCCAGACGCGTACGACATCGACGTTGTACGCCGATAATTTTGAAACCACATTTGCTCGGGATCGGTCGACACTGTGTTTGCGTAGTACACGCTGGAAGCGTTGAGAGTTCTTGATGTGCTGATTTTGTAGAGACCTTGGTGGTCGAAGTTCCAATCGTTGTTTGTCTCCGTCGCGGCAAAATGCTCGGTGTCCACCGTCGTCGGATTTTTCGAGGCATGGATGTTCACGTTCATGCATTGTCCCAAGTCGGCGATAGATTGTGGCGGTGGTGGTGGCGGCGATGGCGGCGATGGTGACGGTAGTGGCGGTGGTGGCGGCGATGGTGACGGCGGCGGCGGGGGCGGGGGCGGCGGCACGCAAGTCTCGGCGCACGAGCCGAAAACGTACGATATGACGTTACCCTCCTTCTCCTCTCTGGTGAACGCCCGATTGAAATAATCACCGTATAACTGCGCGCACCCTGGCTCGCCGTCGTCGCCGTTGATATTCAGTCCAGCCAACGGCGCTTTGACCGCCGCTAAACCTTTCTTCACGCCGCGCTTGCCAACGCCAATTTCATACCACTTCACCCCGTTCGCGTTCTTAAGCGCGAATCCGAACTCCCAGTCGATCGCATCCGTTGTGACCTGGAATCCGGATCCATACGCTCTGGGATCATCGAATGGCGTCATCTTGTGACCGTTTTTCCAGGCGAAAAAGTTCTTGGGCCCGTACGTCTCGTAGTTATGACTCACAACGCGCGCATCCACGATCGCGGCGTCGAAGAAACCGGCCGGCGCCAACGCTCGCACGCGATCATCGATGCAGCTCGTGAGCACGCGAAATGTCACGGGAACTTTCGGGGCGGTCGGATCTGGCTTCGGCGCCATCCCGGCTTCAGCCACGGCTTTGTCGCGAATCCTTCGCGCCCTCGCATTCTCCCACCGCTGCGTGCGCAACGCGCTCAATCGAGACCCCAACGCCGCGAATCTTTCGCCGTCGTCGAACGAGACCGCCGCGCCGAGGCCGAAGAGAGCGACGCCGCCGGCGACGGCGACGAACTTTTTCGTCGATGACTTCGCGCGCGTCTGGGACCCTCGCGAGCGCTCGCTGGTTTCGACGACGTTCAGCAGTGGCGTCGTCTCGGCGCCTCGCGCTGGATCGGACATGTTTTCGTTTCGGTGTTCGCGGGCGGTGGTCGAGATGGCGGCGATTCGAGCCGTCCTGTGGCGTCTCCGCGAACGCGAGGGTGTTGAGAATTCACCCCCCGCGGGGCGGGGGAAAACTTTATATGTTGCCGCTTCAGAGGAGTCCCTACGCGACTGACGAGTCATGATTGGTCGACGAAATACGTATTGTGTACCTTTTAGTAGTATCACATCACCGTGTCACATCTACTACCGGGTGTTTTCACCTTGCGAAAATTCGTGAAAAACGTGATGCTTCAGAGTTGCATGATTTGAAGCGAAACGGACGACGTAACCACTATGCCGCGACGAAATAATACGTTTACTAATCTGGATTGTGAAGACGCGACCCCGGCGGTGGCTTGATCGTTCGACCGGGAGCTCGACCGATGGACTTTTTCTTTCCGGGTTCGACTCCGGTGCCTCGCGGACGAAGCGGGACGTTGAGGAGTTGCGGTGAGTGCGAGACGGCTTCGTCCCATCCGAAGCTCGGTGCGCGCTCCCACCAACCGGCACTGTCTTCCCAGGTGTCCCAACCGTCGGAACCATCGGTGGTGGCGCCCCATTTGTGGACGCGACCGTCGTGCCAGTGCTCCTCGCCCCACGTCTTCTCAAATTTGTGCCCGTCGCGATCGTCCCATGTGCTCCCGTTGCGATTCCCCGCACTCCCGTTGTGAGCGTATCCCCCCCATCGTTCTTCCCACTTTTCACCCCAGGCACGTCCGCTTCCACCGTCCTCGCTCTGATCGCGGTCGGCGAAGGAATCCGTCCACTTGACGCACCCACCGTGACCGTCCCACTCCTCGCCCCACTTGTGCGTCCAACGATTACCGTGACCGTCGTCTGGAGTCGCGCCGTTCGCGATCGCACCTTTTTTTGTACATGTACGCTTCACTTGACCGTCGCCCCAGTAGTTCTCGTCCCACACTTCGTGCCATTCGGCGCCGTCGGCTTGCGCACCCCACTTGTTCGCCTCTCTCATGATGTGCTTCGAGGCGTTTGAGAAACCGGTGGTGGTGTCGTGAGTCACTTGCTCACGCCAGCTTTCTTGCCACACGTTGCCCTTGGCGTCTCTCCCCGATTTGATCGCCCCGAGTTCCCGATAGTTGAAAGCATCGCTCGTCTCCCACCATTTTTCTTCCCACTCGACGGAACCGTCCGCGGAGGCGCCTCGGACGAGCGTCCATCGACACAGCTTCCCGCCTTCGAGTTCCTCTTCGCCTGACTCGCGCCACCACCTCGAACCATTTTCAAGTGTACCTTCGGTTTCCCCATCTGCGCCGAGCTCGCGCACGGCGGTCGCAGTTTCCTCTAGCTCCACCGTCGGCGTGTCGCTCAGCGGCGCCGGTTCCTTCGCCAAAACGACGTCGCTTTCGAATTCAAGCTTCAACTCGCTCGGCGTCTCGACGTCGCTTTGAAACTTCAACTGAAGCGAAGCCTCGGGCGCGCGCTCCGCGACCGCCACGGCCGCGCTCACGCGAGTCTCTGTCTGTCTCTGCAACTTTGGCGCCGCGGCGGCGGCGACTTTATCCGAACCCGCCGCCTCCGGCGGCGTCCACGTCCAAAAGTCGCTCCCGGGGTTGAAAGTCTCCGCCTTCGGCTTCGACGCCTTCTTCGCGGTGTTTTTCAACCCTGAATCGTTCGCGGACCTCCCTCCCTTCATCACCGCGCCGTCAGCCGCGCCCGACGCCCCGGTCGTCGTCCCGGTTGACCTCGGCGCGCTCCCGCTCGCGCTCCCGCTCGTCGCCCCTTCCCCTCCTCCCGTCGTCACCACCTCGGTCTTCGACGTCGCCGTCTCTCGCACGCTCGTCATCGCTCGCACCGCCGCCATCGCCGCCTCCGCGCGCGCCGCCGCGCCCATGGGCGTCGCCGCGGCTTCGAACAAGTCCACCACTCGCGCGCTTCGCGCGTCGTCCTCCTCCGCCGCGCGCGTCACCGGCCCGGCCCGCGCGCGCGCGCCCCTACCGGTCCATCGCGGCGGCGCGCGCGCGACCGCGCGCGCCGGCGTCGCCGTCGACATGGCGTCGCGTCGACGAATGCGGATGACGCCCCGCCGCACATGTCGCCCTTCGGCGGTCGAGCGAGCGCGCTCTCGCGGTTCGGCGACGGCGCGCGGCGCGCCCTCGCCCTCGCGTCCCGCGCGCCCTCGCGCCGCGCCACCCAAGACCCCACCCGGCCCCGCCGGAAGTCCACTCCCAGTCTTAAACTTCTTCACCGTGGCGCCGACGACGATGCCAGCGACGACTAGATACGACAGTCCCTCCGCCAGTCGCGCGCGCGGCGCGCACGGCTCAGTCAATGCAATCACACGACGCGCACATCGTCGAAGAGCGCCGCCGCGAGCTCGTCCACGGTGTCGAACACGACGTCAAAGTTCTCGGCGTGCGCCGCGTCTCTCAAGTCGTGCGATCCCCAATTCACGCCGACAGCCACGCATCCGGCCGCTCGAGCCGCCGCACCGTCGCTCGGCGCATCTCCGATGTAACACACCGTCCCGAGATCCTCCACCTCGAGCTCGCGCATGATCATCAACACTCCGTCCGGCGCCGGCTTCGCTCGCGGCACGTCGTCCGCTCCGTAACACCGCTTCATCGTACCCTCCACCCCGTTCACGCGCACCACCGCTCGCGCGTACGTCCCGCACGCGTTACTCAACACCGCCTGCGCCCGACCATCTTCCCTCAATCGCTCGACGATCGCATCGACGCCGTCGTAGAAACCCGTCGTGTCCCGACTCACCAGCTCAACGTACGTCGCGTCAAACGCCGCGCCGAGTGCCTCGCCGCACGCCGCGTCGGCGTCACCCGTGGCGTGCCAGGCCAAACGTCGCGGCGTTGTGTGTCGCGTCCCTTGTAAGTACTGCGCGCGCGTGATCTCCGCCAAGGCGTTTTGTCTGAGCACCAGGTTGGTGCAGTCGAAACCCAAGTCGGTGGAATCGGCTAAAGTGCCGTCGACGTCCCAGACGACGACTTGACACTTGGAGAGGGAGTTTGAGGGACAATCAGGGCTGCGTGCGGCGCCGGAGGGTGCGGCGCCGGACGCGATGACTGACACGCGAGGCACCATGTGCGGTTTGCGCGGTACCGTTCGTTAATTGTAAATTGTATCATTACACTACATCGTCATCAAGCCGCACGAGATTTGGGCTTAGGGTTGTCGTTCTTAGAGCCGTCGTCGTGGTCTCGTCCGAAGCCAAGGGCGTCGTACGCCTTAACGACGGCGCCGAGCGCCTTTCGACCGACAGATTGGACCTTGGCGGTCGCTTCACCGATATCCGGGATGCGGATGTCGCCCCTGGCTTGCGCATCCTTAAACTTGTCGTGCGCCACCTTGGTGTAATTTTTACCGGATTCGAACGCCTTCTGACTCGCGTGCTTCACATGCGGAGACGCGAAGCGTACGAATCGCACGCCTTGCTGTGCACCGTGCTTGAACGCGTCGTTCAATTTCTTCTTGGCCACCGCGGATATCGGAGTCTTTTCAGACTGACCGAACGTCTCTTTGATCTCAACCAGGGGAGCCACTGGAATGCCCCGATCAGTTAAGATGTGCACGATCTGCTGACGATATCTTAGCGCGTCTTTAAACTCTTGCTCGCACTCCACTTTTCGTTCATGCGTTTGGCGCACGATGTGGTTCGCCTCTCTAATAGCCTGAACAAGCTTGTGGTGTGGATTGTCCGGACTGGTCGGCAGATATTCCTCATCGGATTGGTGATAGCGTCGAACCAACTTCACCTCTGTGTCGTCCAAAGCGCGTACGGTCTCGATTATTTCCTCTTCGTCGTCGAGCGCCGACGTCGACTCTTCTGGCTCAGCCTCTGAGATCTCGCTCTGGCGTTCGGACACGGGCGACAACTTCACCGGCGAAGCTACAGCAGCCTCGGCGTCGACGATCACATCAGCGCTCTCGACTTCGGCGTCGGCTTGAGGACTTCCTCGTACCTCTTCGGTGCTCGCGGCGATGCCTTCCTCCTGTTCATTCTCATCCACGGGATCGTCCTCCACCTCTTCATCCGAATCATCCGACGTTGCGATCTCCTCGACGCTCTTCATCTCGATTCCCGTCACTTCTCGCACCTTTCGCACCGCTTCCATCTCTTTTGCCTCCTCTCTCTCGCGCTTTTTTCGCCACGCCTCCGTTCTCTGCTCGTACTCAAACTGTTCCCTCTGCGCCTTGGTGGGCTTGATCATGTGAAACACCGCGAACGCCAGCGGCGCCACCAAAAATGCGACGACGACACCGGCGAATAACATCGCACCGTCGACCGCGGCGTAGACCTCGTCCGAGCTATCTCTGGTCCACGCCCGCGCCTCCTCGGCGCTCAACTCCCTATCCGGCTCTTCGCCGCGCATCGACTCATCGTCCCCGCCACCGCCACCGCCACCGCCACCACCGCCGAACCACTTTCGTCCACCACCCCGATCGCCTCGACCGCCGTCTCCGCTCCCTTGGAACGATTTTCTCGCTCTTCGCGTCGCGTCGCTCGCCGTCCGCCTGGCCCGCGCCAGGATTCCCTCCGCCGGCGGCGTCGCCGTCGGTTCCACCGCCACCGCGATCGGTTCGGGAGATACATCATCGATGGACGCACCGTTCACCGTCGGCGAGTCGTCCCCGGCGGCGCGGATGACGACGCGCGCGCGGGAGACTCTATTAATTCGCTGTTTCCCCTTGACGTTGGAAATTCGTTTCGACTCGTTAAACGGAACCGTTCGCGTGAGGACGAGCGCCCTTGCGAGAGACATCGCGATGTACTCGCGCGCGCGCGCGCGCGACGAGCCGTGGGCGCGTTCGTGAGGGCGTCGCCGTGTGACCCGCGTCGCGCGGAGTTGGTTGGAAGCAAAGTGCGTGTGTTAAAGCGTCAAGGTCTCTAATCCTCCCCCATCGCGTCGTCATCGTCATCGTCGTCGTCCTTAATCTCAACCTTTGGTTTGACATCGGTGTCCATCGCATCGGCGTCGGCGTCGGCGTCGGCGCCGCGCGCGTTGTACTCAGCCATCTCGCGCTCGTATCGCGCCTTGTCCTCCTCGGCTTGTTGCTGATATACGCTCTTCTCTTCGTCGGAGACCGTCTTCCAACGTTCGCCGAGCGCCTTGGCGATGTCAGTGATGCCAAATTCGGGGTTTGCCTCGGCGATCTCGGCGCGCTTGGCGGCGGAGAAGAACATGTATGCCGAGAGCCCGCGCTTTGGCGCGTTCGGATCCTTCTTGGCACGCTTCTTCTTAGGTGATTTCTTCGTCTTTTTCGGCGCGTCCTCGCCGCTTCCCGAGTCTGAATCACTATCAGTGGGCTCTCCCCCGTCGGATTCGCTCCCGGCAGCGAAATCTTCGTCCTCTTCGCTCTCATCGTCGCCTCGCGCGGCGTATCCCTCGTCGTCGTCTGACGCCTCCGCGATGAGCGCATCAGCGCGAGCGTTCGTATCGACGTTGGAGATGCGAACCTCCTTCGCCGTCAAAAAGTTGACCAAGTTTTGGAACTCCGAACGCTGGATACCGTGGAAATCGTACGATGATCCGCCCTTCATGGTGATGGTGAGGTCAAAAGTCTTTGCGCTCGAGTGACCGGCGGCGGCGTGACGCTCGAACTCCACCTCGTCGACCTCGGAGTAGTGCAAGAGCAGCGGCGGCTTGGGGACGTAGAAGAAGGCCTTCTCGAGCGGATAGAGCAAACCGACGTCTGCCTTGTGCGATACGCGGATGGCATGCCCGCCCGCCGAGGCGGTGAAAGCGCTTTGTCTGGTGAGCTTAACTCCCGCCAAATTCTTCAGCACGCGCACGAAAACTTCGCCAACAGATCCGTCATAGGACGCTTCCAAGGTTGGAAATTTCTCTTTCATCGCCGGTTCCAAGTTCGGCACCACAGTGAGGTGCTCGTCGTCGTTGAACATTGCGAGAATGTGCGGGTAAAACGTTTGTCCCTTGCGAATCGGCGGATCGAGCGCGATGACCGCGTGCGACTGATTCGAGTGCGGCTTCGGAAGGAGGTACACGCGCACGATGGAAGAGTATTGCACCTTGAAATCCAGCGTGCTTGACTGCATCTTCATGTACGTATGATGGAGATCCATCGTGACCTTACCTCTCGGCACCACCATGGAGACGGAATCAAACTCCGCAACCGGTTCTCCCGCCTCGGCGTCAGCGGCGGCGATGGACAGGATCGCCGCTCGCAAGCGATGCGCCGCGCTGTCTTCCGGATTCTCCGGATCCTCACCCGCCCACGTTTCGCTTCCGGGAGGAACAAAGAACGACATCTCCACCAGCGAGTCCTTCTCCGCCGCCGTATCGTCGGTGTGAAACTGCATCACGACTTCATTCTTCCCCACCACCGTCGCTTCGGAGATATACTTCCCCTCGAGCTCGAACTGCGTCTTCCCATCCACCTCGAACACGGTCGACGCGCCTTCGATCGCGACGTCGCCCCAGTTTCGCCCGTTCACGTTCACCTCGCGCTCGCCCGTCGAGCACCCGAACGTCTCCGCGCAAAACGCCGCCGCCCGTCGCGCCTCATCGACCCCGATCCCTCCCAGCGTCAGCGTCTCCCCCGTCGTCGACCGTATCCTGAGCACACCACCGGTGGGCGTCTCGCTCCATCGCGCCGAGCTCACCGCGCTCGGCGCGAACTCCGTCTTCGCCTTCCCACCGCTCGTCCCACCCGACGCGATGAATCGCGCGCCGCGCGCCTGGGACAGGGACAACTCCCCGCTCTGCCCCCCTCCGCGTCCGAGCGCGCGCGCGCTCAGGGTGTACGCACCGGCGTCCGTCATCGACGCGTCGATTATTCAAAAATCCCACGTCCCAGATCGTCGATCGTCGATTCGTCGTCGTCGCGCGCGCCGACGTCCGTCGACCGGGCGATGTCCCAGACCGACCGCGACGCGCGCGCGTCGCCCGAGCGCGCGTCGGCGTGTGCGCGACGCGCGCGCCCGTCGCGCGCGTGGAAAACCTCACCGACGCCGTGTACAATCACATACCCATACACAGAGCCACACTACGACCGTCGTGCCCCCGACCGTGTCCACTGTATACACCACGCATGATAGATCTCGAGATCACTGTATACGTCCATCGGTCCGGTCACGCCACGCGCGTCTCGACACCGCCGTCGACGCGTCCCGCACACGCGCGCGACGCTCGACGCCGACGCTCGACCATGTCCCTCGCCCGCGCGATCGTCGCCATCGCCTCGACGCCGCGCCCGCGACGATCGCGCGCGACGATCGCGCGCGCGGGCGCGTTCGAGGTCCCGAACGCGTACGCCACGGTGACGCCGACGATGAACGGGGTGCTGGTCAAGGTGGCGGCCGCGGAGGCGGTGACCAAGGGCGGGATCGTGCTCACGGAGAGCGCGCAACGGAAACCGACGAGCGGTGCGTGCGAGGGGTGACGCGGATGGGTGACGTGGACGCGCGAGAGAGGGATGGGGGGGGGGGACGCGGATGAGGGTTTGTCGACGCGGACGCGCGAGAGGGCGCGACGACGCGATGGGGGGGGGTCTGGGGGTGCATAGACGTCGATGCGCGACCGCGGTGACTGACGCGAGATGTGTGACGCGTTCGTAGGCGATGTGACGGCCATCGGTCCGGATTGCAAGCACGTCGCCGTCGGCGCGACGGTGCTCTACAGCAAGTTTGGCATCGGGTGCACGGACGTGAAGATTGGTGCGGACGAGTACACGCTCATTAAGGAGGCTGATTTGATCGGTACCTTTCCGAACAGCGGCGCGCGGGCGAACGATATTCCCAAGCTCGCGCCGTGCGGCGATCGCGTCTTGTTGCAAGTCGAGCGCGCCGCGAGCGAGACCAAGGGCGGCATCTTGCTCACGGAGGGCTCCAAGGAGAAGCCCATCGTCGGCACCGTCCTCGCCGTCGGTCCGGGTAAGGTTGAAAAAGACGGTACCGTGAAGCCGATGACCCTGCGCGCCGGCGACAAGGTTGTCTACTTCAAGTACGCCGGCGACCAAATGTCCGACGAGGCGGGCAACCCGTTCGTCGTCCTCCACGAGAACGACTGCCTCGCCAAGCTCTGAGCGTCACCGCGCCTCGAGACACACGTTAGCATTCATTATCACCGCGCGCGCGCGATTCTACGAGCGTCACGACGGTTGTAACGCCATCCGCGTCCGACGTCCCATCCGCCCCAGTCGAGCCCCAGTCACGACTCAGACACTCGCGCGGTCGACGCGTGGAAAGATTCTTCCATACTTCCGGGTGTCGACTCCACGAGTCATGACTCAAAAATGACCCCCATCACCACCCCCACCCGAGATCCTCGCGCGCGCACACCTCGACGCCGCGATGCGCGTGACCGCGTTGTTCTCGAAGACCAAAGCCGCGCCCGCGCCCGCGAAGGGCGCGAAAGCGCCGGCGGGGGCCAAGCCAGGGATTACCCTCCCCTCCAACCCGTTCGCGGCGAAACCGGCGACGAAGGCGACGCCCGCGGCGAAGAAACCGGCGGCGGTGAAGAAGACGGTGGTGAAGACGACGCCGGTGAAGAAACCGACGCCGGCGACGAAGCGGGCGCCGGTGAAGGCGGCGCGACAGCCGGTGGATCAGAAGGCGGCGATCGCGAAGTGGTACGGTGCGTGGTGTGAGCGATGGCGACGACGCGCGCGGGAAGGGGGCGAAAGATCGGGAATTGGCGTATCTTATCGGGAGAGATACGGTTAGGTGGCGATCGAGGGGCGCGACGGGGCGCGCGGGCGCGCGCGCGGGTCGCGCGGAGGTGGGAACGGTGGATGATTGTGAATACACGACGGCGGATGCGGCGCGGGGGGGATGGGGGACGACGCGCGCGCGCGAGAGGGAAGATATGGTGAATTCACCCGACGCGGACGCCGGACGCCGGACGGGACGCGGGAGAGACGGGCGCGGATGCGAGCGTGGATGCGATTCGAACCCAAGTGAGGACGTTGAGGTTGATGGTGTGACGGTCAAGTCGCGTTCGGCCGGTTACGGGAGAGAACCGTTGGATGATGGGATGTTGGGAGACGGATAAAGAGACTCGAATGCGAGAATGAGCGAAGACTGACGACGGCGAAATCCACCTTTGCGCGCGAACGCAGGCCCGAACCGTAAGCTCTACCTCCCGGGTGGTTTGCTCACCAAGGCCGATCTCCCGAGCTACCTCGACGGTACGCTCGCGGGTGACTACGGCTTTGACCCGCTCGGCCTCGGCGCCGACGGCAAGGTCAAGGACTACCGCGTCGCGGAGATCCTTCACGCCCGTTGGGCGATGCTCGCGGTGCCGGGCGTCGTCATTCCGGAAGCGTTGAACATTCCGGGTGGTGTCTGGACCGAGACCGGTAAGGTCTTCCTCGACGGCGAGACCGGTCGCGACTCTATTCTCGAGTTCTGGCCGATCTACGCCGCGATTCAAGTCGTCCTCATGGGTGGCGCCGAAAAGTTCCGCCAAGACGGCGTCGGCCCGGCTGGCTTCGTTCCGTTCAAGGGCAAGTTTGAAGAATCAGCTTTCAACGGTCTCGATCCGGTCAACCCGGGTGGTCCGCTCGACTTCTTCGACGTCGCCAAGAACCCGCAAGACTTGCAAATCCTCAAGGTTAAGGAGATCAAGAACGGCCGTCTCGCGATGATCGCGATGCTCGGCGTGTTCGTGCAAGGCGCCGTCACCGGCGAAGGTCCGGCGGCGAACTGGGGTAAGCACGTCGCCAACCCGTTCGGCTACAACTTTGTCACGATTACCTCCGGTATCGACCGCACGCCGGTGCTTTAAACGTATGCAAGGGATGAGACGCAACGCGATAGCTCTCGCGCATTTGTAACCGTCCTCTGCAAAATTCGATCCACCGCACTCATCGACGCTCGAGAGATCATCGGACGGGCGATGTCCATCGCCGCGATCGGCATCGCTCCCGTTCACGCGCGCGTGGTCGCGCCGATCGCGCGCAGACACCGCGAGCGTCTGACGCGCGCCTCGAGCGCGTCCCGCTTTGACTCTGCGCCCGCGGCGTCAACCCTCGGGTTCGCTCTCCGCGCGCGTCGTCGCTCCGCCGCGCGTCGTCCGTCGAGTCGTCACGTCCGCGCGGATGCCGTGGCATCGTCGTCGGCGTCGTCGAAGACGGAATCGGGCGGGAACACGACGCTCGTCGTCGCCGGAGCGGTCGCGGTGTGCGCCATCGCGGCGACGCACGCGAGCGGCTCCGCCATCGCGCGCGCGGGTGGAAGCGCCGTCTTGGGATGCCTACTAGCGCTCGTTGGGTACAAGAAGAAGTCTCTCGACGCGAGTGGGGCGATCGCGGCGATCGGAGTTGGTTTTGGAAGCATTTACGCCGACGCGCGGTTCGGCGCGGCGCTCGCGGCGTTCTTCTTCACGAGCAGCGCGGTGACGCGAGTGCGCTCGGATGTGAAGCGAAGGGTCGATGAACACTTCAAAGTCGGTGGTGGGAGAGATTGGGTGCAGGTGTTCGCGAATGGTTTCGTGCCGACGATGATCGCGTTGGCGTACGCGTTCGGAGCCACGGGCTCGAACGCGGGCGCGATGGCGAGCGCGTATTTAGGATATTACGCGTGCTGCGGCGGCGACACGTGGGCATCCGAGCTCGGGGTGTTGTCCACGTCTAAACCTAGGCTCATTACGAACTGGACGCGCGAGGTGGACGCGGGAACCAACGGCGGCGTCACCGCGCTGGGATGGGTCGCGAGCGCGAGCGGCGGCGCCGCCGTGGGCGCCGCGTTTCATCTCGTCCAGGTCATCCTCCGCGCGTTCGCTCCAAACGGCGCAGTCAGATTTGCTCCATCGAGTGCGCTCGAGCTCATCGTCTTCGGCGCCGTCGCCGGTGTCTTCGGCTCGCTCGTCGACAGCGTCCTCGGCGCTACCATACAGTTTTCGGGTTGGTGCTCCGCGCGCCAAAAAGTCGTCTCCAAGCCGGGCCCATCCGTCGAGCGCATCAGCGGTCTAGAGATCCTGAGCAACAGTGCGGTCAACTTGGTGTCTGGGATCGTCACCGCCGTCGTCGCCGCTGTATTCTTCCCACTGTAACGCGTTCGCCTCCATTCCATCGCCTCGCCGCACTCCTCGCCTCACCTCGCCGCCATGTTCCCTCCTCGCTCCGGCGCGTGCGCGTGCGAGATCGCGAGCGTGCACACGGAGTTCTTAATCACCGAGTACACCGACCGCGTCCTCGTCGTCGCGACGCAGATCGGTAAGCTCGGCACGGTGTATCACTTGCGCAGGGACGTCCCGGGCGAGTTGTCTCTGCAACGCGCGGACGCGGATGCGCTCGCGGACGACGAGGGCCTCGCGCGGTGCGAGACGCTGATCGGTCGAAGAGACGACGCGACGTTGGACGCGTGCGCGCGAAGGATCGGGGAGGTGCTGTTCGCGAGAGGGCTGGAGAAACCGATCGTGTGCGCGTTGGGATTGCGGAGCGGGTGCGGGCTGGAGGCGAAGAGGGCGGTGGCGTCGACGGCGATCGAGCGGGCGAGCGAGTTGTTGGGGATCGCGCAGTGAGGCGATCGTCATAGCAAACAGTCATTTATGGTTGTAACAACAGTATACACGAATTAGGGCGAGTGAAGGGTCGAGGATCAGAGTTCGTCGCGCGCGGCGGCGGCTCCCGCGTCGAAGGCGCACTCACCCTCCGCGGCGGTTTCCGAGTCGCATCTCGCCTTGGCTGCGTTGTCTGCCTTCTTCTTGGAAACCTTACCCGCAAGGTTAGTGTAATCCTTCGTCTCGTTGAGCGACATCGTCACGTTGGTGCCGTTGAAGTTGACCGTGACGTCCGGGTCGTCGCCGTATCTGACGTTCAAGTCGTCAATCGTTGTCTTGAGGAGCTTGTCGACATCGACGTCGATACCCTCTGTTTTAACGTGCTCGGCGAAACGATCCGCCGTCTCCTGACGAAGTCTCCGTTTCTTTTCTTGCCCGCTCTCCTTCTTATCCGCGCCAGCGGCGTCGAGGAGACTCGCGATTTCGTCCTCTCGCATGATCATCGCGAGCTTGGCTGCCGTGAGACCGAGGTCCATGAGCGGCGTCTTTTGCACGTAATTCACCACCGCACCCGCATCGAGCAATATCTTCACACAATCCTTACACTTGGCCATGACGGAGCGCATGAGCGCCGAATACCCCAAGCCGTCGATCTCGTTCGCGTTCGCTCCGTAATCGAGCAACAAATCGATAGCCTTGGCGTTCCCGAGAAACGCCGCCTTCATGATGGGCACCATGTGTCGTGTTTCCCCGAGTTTTTGACACTTCTCCCTCAAATTTGGTTTCCAACGCAAGAGATCATCCAGCTCCTCCATGTCGTCGTCGTCGATCGCCTCGTGGATCGACCCGATCGCGCTCTCCCCCTCGCCGAGCGTCGGCTCCGGAGCCTTGAACTCCTCCTCCTCCTTTTCAATCTTCTTCTTCGCCGACGCTTTCGCCGACTTCTTCCGTCGTCTGGTCGACATCTTCGAAGTCTTCACCGTTCCATCGGTCTCAGGCGTCGTCGCGGTCGCGTCCGCCGTCGCCGTCCGCACCTCGGGCTTCGCGCTCGCCGCCGCGAGCGAATCCTCCGACAGCGCCGCCCCTTTCCCGTCTCCGGAGAACCCGATCCCGTGCGCCGGTCCCACCGCGGCCGCAATGACGAACACGATCACGACACGGAGCGTCTTCGCGAACGACGCGCGCGCGCGCGCGCGACGCGTCGTCGTCATCGTCTTCGTCGACGAATTTTCAACACAATCACGCATCGTCGATTTATCGTCGACTTACGCTTTCGTCTCGCGTCTGTCCCGCCTCGCGCGTCGCCGTGTCGTCGCCGTCGAACGTCCCGATGTCCCCTCTGCGCGATACGTCCGAGCGGACGGTTTCGACGCGCGCGCGTCGCGCGATGACGCTTCGGCTGTGTTCGCTCTCGGCGATGCTCGTGACTTCACGACAGTGCGCGTGATGCGCGCGCGGGCGCTCTCGGACGCGTCGACGCCGTCGAGAGCTCGCGCGCGATCGTTCGCGCGCGCGCGTCGGGTTTTCGCGCGCACGACGCGCGGACGGGCGACGGAAAACGATGAAGATGTCTCTGACGTCGTCGTCATCGGCGCCGGAATCGGTGGATTGAGCGCGGCCGCGATCGTCGCGAAGTGCGGGATGTCGGTCACCGTGCTGGAGTCGCATAACGTCCCGGGTGGAGCCGCGCACGCGTGGGCGCGCGATGGGTACACGTTCGAGTCCGGACCGTCGCTGTACAGCGGATTAGGCGATTGGCCGACGACGAACCCGTGCGGACAAATCTTACACGCCGTGGATGAAAAGGTGGAGTGCGTGCGGTACAACACGTGGATGTGTCACTTGCCGGAGGGGACTTTCGTGACGGAGGTTGGGAACGATCAGTTTTTGGAATGTTTGAGGACGTACGTGGAGGACGGCGACGCGGCTGCGGAGGAGTGGATTCGCTTGAAAGAACTGATGCGGCCGATGGCGACGGCGAGCGCGTCGTTGCCGCCAGCGGCGGTGCGCAGCGATGTTTGGGGGGCGTTCACGCTCGCTAGGTTCGTTCCGGGATTGATCAAGTCGGCCAATTACATTCCGAAAATCATGGCGCCGTACTCGAACTTTATGGACGAGAACGAAATCAAGCACCCGTTCATCAGAAACTACATGGAGATGCTGTGCTTTCTTCTAAGCGGTGCGCCGGCCTCGGGGACGATGTCAGCAGAAATTGGTTACATGTTCGACGATTGGTACCGACCGAACTCGATGTTGGAGTTCCCGAAGGGGGGTTCGGGCGCCATCGTCGAGGCGCTCGTGCGAGGCGTACAGAAAAATGGCGGCGTGGTCAAGTGCGGGACACACGTTGAGGAGATCTTGGTTGAGGGCGAAGAAGACAAAAAGCGTGCGGTCGGTGTGCGTACGCGCGGCGGGAAGACGTACCGCGCGAAGAAGGCAGTGATCTCAAACGCGACGACGTGGGACACCGTTCCGATGCTTCCACCGGGCGCGATGCCAAGCGAGTGGATCGATGAAGTGTCGTCGACGGAAATGTGCGAATCTTTCATGCACTTACATCTTGGGATCGATGCGGTCGATTTGCCGGACGATTTGGAGATCCACCACATCTACGTCGAGGACTGGTCGCGCGGCGTCACGGCGGAGCAAAACATGGTGCTCATTTCAATCCCTTCCGTCCTCGACCCGAGCATGGCGCCGGAGGGCAAGCATGTCATCCACGCCTACACCCCGGGCAATGAGCCGCTTGATATTTGGGATGGACTTGATCGCAACTCGGACGAGTACAAGGCGCTCAAGGAAGAACGATCGCAGGTTCTTTGGAGAGCCATCGAGAAGGTGATTCCAGACGTGCGAAAGCGCGCCGAGATCACGATGGTCGGTACGCCGGTGACTCAAAAGCGATTTTTGCGACGCGCGCGCGGTACGTACGGGGGTACAGGGTGGATTTCAGCCGATCAGGACACAATTCCGATCACGAGCGCGTCCACACCGCTACCCGGCTTGCTCGTCGTTGGGGATTCAAATTTTCCCGGACCAGGCGTTCCCGCCGTCGCCGCCGGCGGATGGTCCGCGGCGAACGAGCTCATCTCCCCGATGCAGACCGCCGCTCTTCTCGACAAGGTGTGTCCGCCGGGGACGGCAAAGTAGAGTAGCCATTCATTCAACCTCTATTATTTTTATGCTAAAAAATGTGAGTGCGAACACGTATTAAAGTGTGCGTGTTAAAAGTACGGAACGATGCTACTTCGCGCTCTTACGGCTCGCGTACGATCGAAACGTTTTACGTAAACAAACGTCCGTCGTCGTTAGCCTCAAGCGCACGTGCGGCTGGTGATAAGAATAAAGCGCAAGCGAGAGAGTCGTCCGGTTCGCGCAAGCCGTTTACGCCGCCGGAGGCACGTCGTCGCCGTCAACGTCCTCCGCATCCAGGAGAGCCTCCTTTGGCGACGCATCGTGCGCGGCGTGTCTCGCTCCCTTGCCACCATGCTTCTCCTTGTGCTTTCGAATCGACCGCGTCACGATGTCCGCGCACTGATCGATTGTCGCGTAAAGATTCTCCCCAACTCCGTCCGCGTGCAGTGTGGGCCCGCGCGTCATCAAAACCGTCACTTCCGTCTTATGTTCGACCCCACCCTTCGACCCCTCGCCCCCTCGAGCGCTGCATCGCACATCAACCTCCCGAATATCTCTCGAATCCACGTGCGAGCAAGCTCGTCCAATCTTGCTCCTCACGTACTCGTCGATCGCAGGCGTGATCTCCAAGTGCAAGCCTTGGACCAACATTTTCACATCCGTGTTCGTCGACGCCTTCGTTTGCACCGCCCGCGATCGCAAAGAGTTCGTTCGACGGAGAACATTAGTGCGCGCGTTTTCGTTCACGTGCACCGCGTTCACGCGCTTCGCGCACGACGTGCGTTGACCGAGACAAGAATGCATCGGCGGTTATTCGGATTTCGATCGCGTTTTCGATCGGGTTCGATCGTCTCGCGCGCTGTTCCAGTGCGCTTCGGTCGCTTTGTTGCGATGAAAGAACGAAACGAAAAACAATCGATCGTTCTGTGTCGTGCGTGAGCTCTCGAAGTGCTCGCGCGCGCGTGTGTGCGGGCGATGGTGCGATCTCGAGTTGACACGTCGGACTGCGCGATCGATGGGCACTTTTCGCCGAAAAGTTTTTGGGTTTCTCCTGATACGGTTCCTCCTAGTATGACCCGAGTCGATACGCGCGTGTACTCAACACGTCGACGCGCGGGAGCGGGATCAGGCGGATACGGTACGAGTACCGCTAGCAGTAGTTGATTTACACACGTCATTGCGCGACGACGACGACGCGCCACAGGGCGCCCGCGATGCAAAGGATGGAGACGGATTGGGGCGCGACGGCGAGCCACGGGCGAGAAGCGTTGTAACGGAGTAATACCAGACTCCATGACGCCCCGGCGATCAGGGCGATGCCCTGACAAAATGAAATGACGTGGTCATCTGCGACGAGCGAGGGGAGCCCCGCGTTGTCGGCGAGCGCAGAGAGACCAAACGTGCGCGCGGCGACGGGTAATACGCGACCAGCCTCGCCCATGCCCATGTCGAGAAAGTGTGCAAGGAGGGCGAGCCAGCATAGAGGGAGGTAGGCGTACGCTTCCTTGACGAACGGCTGAGGGGGTGTCTCGCGCTCGCTCGACGCATTGACGACGGCGTTGGAGATGCGCCCGAGTGCGTGCGAAGAAAACGCAACAATCGAAGGAAACGCAAGCGCACAGAACGCAGCGATGGTATGCACAACGAATGGTTCGGATGCGAACGCATTATCGCCGGATGTCGACGAAGCCATCGTTCGAATCGCTTCCTGAACCTCGGGTGACGCGCCGAATGCATCGGCGAGTTCCGGAAGACGGTGACAAAAGCTCGCACCCAACAGTAGAAAGAGTAACGCCGCTTCATGCGCCATTGGCTGATTTGTCGTCCAAAGATCAATTCCCGGAGGGCGTAGGTTAAGTCGCACTGAGCTGTGCGGGCACGCCTGAACACACGAACCGCACAACACGCAGTCGTGGTTATCCTTTATTTGCGCCGGATGGATACCGACCGGACACCCAGATGTCTCCATGCCATCGGGCGGTACTGCCGGACCACCCTTAAAGCAACCGTACGAACTACACTGCGCAGAACACACGCCCTGCTCGGCCCGAATCTCCGTGCCAGAAATTTTAGCAAACATACCATTCATCCCACCTATAGGGCAGACATATCTACACCAAATTCTCTTCTCAAAAAAGACGCTTCCGATGACTGCGCCGCTCGTTATGAGCAAAAGCAACCCACTTGAGAGCGCGGCATGGTCTTCGAGCGCCCACAACTCTTCCCAGAGCAAAATGACGGCGAATAATGACACCAGGACCCATCCACCGTACCTTTCCATGGCCTCATGGGGCCAAGCACGCATGGGCCATCCGGCGCGAATCGCAAACTCCTGAGCTTTCGTGCCGACTGCCATGAACGGACAAAATGCACACCAAAGTCTTCCCACAAGAGGATACGTTATCAAAATTCCCGGCCACCACCAAGCCCAAAAGATATTCAGAAACACATTACTATCGCGACTCTGTGGGCCGAGCAATAGTGCGAGGTTGACTAACGCAAACGCCGGAATCACAACCTTGCTCTGGAATCCACCGTTCCATAGTTCTGAGCGCATCATCGTACGCGTCCAAGGCAGAGCAGAAAACAAATTAAGCCTAAAGTTCGTGCCCCTACGCCAGCCCCCGTAACCAGATTTTGAATTTGGCCATAGCACTTGCTTTGTGATCAACTGACAGCTAAAGTCGTCTGCTTCGCCGTCGCGCGAGCGCAGTTGTGTGACGCGGTTTGCGCGCAACTGAACCATCGCCCGCTTAAGCACTGTTTCGAGTTCGTCTTCATTACCTGGCCAATCGTGCGCTTGAAGAGCTCGCACACCGTCTTCGCTCAGATCATATCGAACCGGGTCATCCGATTCCATCTCTGCTCTACGCATGAAAAAATGCGCCTCTGCCTCAACATCCGCGCGACGCACGCGCAACGGCGGAATCCGAATCGTCATCACATCATCCGTGTCCATCCCGCGCAACACTTCTGGAATGGACACCGACGATGTGAGCACCACGCGCACTCGACTTGACCGATCCGTGCCGCCATCATTCGCGCGCTGCGCTTTGAGAGCTTCGTTCACCGCCCGACGCGTCTGGAGCGGTAACAAATCGACGTCGCGAAGAATGAGCGCTCCACCCGGACCCACATCGCGAAACGCCTTGGTAATCACACTCGTCGCGTGTTCCTCCGCGCGAACCGCGCTCTCGAGCGCCTCTCGACGCGCTCCTTCGTCGTAATCCCCCCCGAAGACGCGCGTCTCTCCGAACGCCGCCAATCGTCCGCAATCCACCGCCGCCGCCGCCGCGCGTCGCCGCGGCGACCCAAAGTGTATCAACTTCGCCACGTCTAACCGCATCGTCCCCGCCTCTCCGATCACCACCACGTCCCG